TTCCAAAAGATTAAACCATTCTATAGAACTGGTGCGAGAATGATCGATCACTAAAGAAAAAATGCTGAACTATTTTTGAGATGGCACTGTATTCCAATCTACTGAAGAACCCAATTCCAAATTCCTTTGATGAAGGGATAGTGAATAAATAGATGTTTACAAGTTCCATCGTCTACTTTAAAGAAGAGGCAAACGTTTGATAAGATTTTACCCCTCTTTGTAAAGTTGTTTGGACTAAGTCTGCGGATAACAAGGTAAAAGCTTTAACTTTATTTAGGACCAGGTGCTTCCGCAATATTGAAATAGCGAAACACAAAATGCAAGGTCTATCTATCATTATTAAGAATATGTTATAGATAACATACTATAAATTCTCCATCAACGCTAGATACCCACTTCATACGATCTTCTTTGTTTGATCAAACATACACATCCTGAAAATATTTTAAAAGGTTAGCATATTGTGTATACAACCTATCTGGCATTATTCGTGGCAATACTCAATAGACTGTATTGTGCTCCCACATTCTACGATCAAAAGTTTGCTGATTTTTGGGTAAAGGATCAATGATTTTCGACAAATATTTCAAGAAAGAGGAAACGAACTAGAACAATGTTTTATCCCCGGTGCGTACCAAAACTCACTGCATCTACTTCCATTGTTGATTACATTCGTTGGAGCTCCTCCACCACCATTTGGTCAACAAAGCCATAGTTATTAGTTGAAGTCTTCTATTACAGGGCCACCAACTTTTCTTGGTCCCCGAGCTTTGTCTATGTATTCTCCCAATTTTCCCATAGAAATCTTGTCATCTAATATTTCAAAATTTTACATACTTGAAAATGAAGGTCAAACAATGACATGAAATGTATGGAGAGATTCACAGAAGTTGATTTGATAAGCGTGACTTCGCCACTCATAGAGAGGTATTTAGTTTTCCATTTGGTATGTGTGGGTGGCCATGGGGCCTCACATGTGCCACATTTTTTTATTCTATGTATTAATTAGTGTTTATCTTTAAAAGGCTTTTTAGAGAGAGAGAATCCTTTTTCCAACCGATAGTGGATAACTCCCCATCTCCCAGGTATTCAGAGCCACTTTTCATAGATTCAAAGAAGGAAGTTTGAATATTAGATAACGACATCCTCCTATCCCTCTATAAGTTAGGGTTTCATACTTATGGAGAGATATAAATAAACAAAAGTATTATTAATCGTTATGTAAAAACCCTGGCTCTCTGCGATTTATAGTCCCATGACACTCCCTTCAATACCTGGGATTTTTGCAGGTTCTTCCCTTTAAATTTCAACACTGGTATCATAGCCAGGTTGCTGTCAACATGTTACTGAGATTTCCCGTTATCTATTTTATGCTCCCTGCAATCGCTTGAACTGTCACTTTTCTCTAGCCATATGTTGCTATCACTTCTTTCTCTAGCCATCTGTTGAGATCGACGCTCTCTCTCTTCATCAATAACATAATTTATGTCGATCTCATATTAAGCAAGAGGAGTAAAGTAACATAGGTAAAGTAACATAAATTCACTGCATTGCAGTGAGTTTCAGTGAAAGGAGGTTTTCTTTTTGTCCATCAATGAAAAAGGTTAATTCAACTATAGGTTAGGGTTTTATGGTTATGAAGAGATACAGATAAATAAAAGTGTTCTCAATCGTTCTGAAAAAGCCTTGGCTCTCTGTGGTTTACAGTCCAATGACACTCCCTACAATACCTTGGATTTTTGCAAGTTCTCCCCTTTAAAGTACAACATAAAATTTGCAGAAAGCTCCTTACTTTTAGGTCTCCAGTAGACCTTATGTTCATGTAACCCACAATTTTGGCACGGTTTTCCACCTGATTTTTGCCGCAGCTTTGATCAATTTATTTCCCTCATACTGATATTCGATCACGTAACCACGTCAGAGTAATTACGGTTTGTATAGCAAATCATCTACATATTGCAGACAGGTTATTATTAGACCTTTTTGTAGGCTTGATATCCATGGATTATACCTCTAAATCGAAGATATAATTTAGCTAAAAATCTCAGCCACAATAAAGAAAAAGAAAGTCGACAATCGATCACCTAACAAATGCCTCGAGATGCTTTAAAGAATCCCATAGGTTTCGGTTAGTTGAGAGGCATCATTTCATCCAAACCCTCAATCGATCACCAAATCCTATATATTATATTATCTATAGGAGGAATTCTCTGTCTAATTTATCAATTGCCTTTTCAACAAGTTTGCATATTATACTTGGTCTTCTTTCCATGGTTACAGCGTGAATATACTATTGGGCTGTTAATATGCATCAACTATTTGTATGTCATTCACTAAAGAAAATTGTGGCCTGAGGATTGATCGAAGATACTGACAAGGATTTTTGCGATAATCATTTAAAATTGCTAGGCAAATTGA